TCTAAACGGGGATGTCATTCTTTTTCTGGCTGTGTTCTCACAACTTGTCCTGTCTCTATTCTCCTCAGTGGCCTTCTCGGTCCTGTCTGTTCTTTTGGCTGTGCTCCTGGTAATTTGAAGGATTTTCTTTTGCAAGTAAACCCCACCTATGCCGGGGTAGCTGTGGCCACTGATCTTGGTGCTGGACTCACGGGGAGGGGATGAGGTAGACCCTGAGAGCTGCGGCAGGATGCTGTGATCAGATATGATACTGCCAACTGGAGGGAGAGATGCAAAAACCCTGTCATGGTCAATTAATTCTTTCAAATAAATCACAATTAGTCTGGTTTATATAACATTTCACTATTTAAAAAATCCTAAAATCTTGACAATATTTGAAAAATTGAAATCTAGCAATGTATATTTTAATGCACTGGAGAGCCTACTATATAGCATAAACACAGCAGTCATTGCAAGACAGAACACAGGAGAAAGATTACCTTGATCAGAATAAGCTGGTATTAAAAAACTGTTGAAATTGAGCCAAGATGGTAAAATCATAAGCAAAAATTTGACAAGAGTATTTCTCAATAGTAACTAACTCTAGACTTTTCAGGCAGAGTCTACTAAGAAAAAGCTTAGCAAAAACCAGATAGGATATATATACAGTATACACAATAAATGTATTTATAAAGTACAATTTCTAATCCTGTTGTATCTCCAAAGTGAAAAGGTTAGGGAACTGGGGAAGATAAAAGTTAAGGCCTCTTGCCCTCTCACGTTTTAAAAGTTCTTACTTGTTTAGGATGTGAGGATGAAGGGGAATATAGCCAATAATATTGTGATAAGTTTGCATGGTGACAGATGATTATTAGAATTAGGGTAGTGATCACATTCTAAGGTATATAAATGTCGAATCACTACCATACACTTGAAATTAATATAATTTTGTATACCAAGTACACTTAAATAAAACACAAAAAAGAAAAAAGCTCTTACTTGTTTAAATTCTCCCTGTGAAAACATGACAATAGGCTTATTTTCTTGTTAGAAAGCAAAGAGCTAATTCTAAAATTTAGCAAGAACTAGGACCAGATCTTAATTACGTACTCTTAGTTTAATGACATTTCTGCCAGACAAATCTGTCTATAGAAATAAACAAATATAATATTCAGCTGTGGTTTTGAAAGAACATATGTAAAAACAATTGGAAATAGTTTGAAGAAAAAACATCTTCAGGTTTCTAAGGATTCCCAACATGACTCGGACAGGCTCACAAATCTATAAACATCATGTCTGTTAGCCACACACCAAAAGACACACCGGAGAAGCCTTCTGTATCCCAGTGTCAGGGGACGGGTTTTTTGTTGGGAGTAAGAGCAACAGGGAAATCCCTGTTCCTAACAACCTTTTCGTAAAATCACACTCAGGCATAAAACACCAAATCTGATTCAAGTAGGTACCTGGTTAGAGAATGATCTATAATGGGACCTCTGAACAGCCTCCAAAAGGGGTGGAAGGTGTAATGGTGTTCCGGAGAGGGCACCAAGAGTATACAGGCACTGTGCACTGGGACGGCCTGTGTGACTGGGAGCTGTTCCCGGTCCCACTCCTCAAACCCGATAAGGGATACTCCGGATAAGACCATCGAGACAGTAAAGAGATGAAAACAGGTCTGTGTGCCTCACGAGACACGTATAAGCGACATACAACAGGATCAGACTCTAGTTTTATAAACACACCTATTTATACATGTTATTCGCAAGTCCTGTTTGATTTTTACAATGCTTTTCTTAGTAAAGTCTGAATGAAAATTGTAGCCATTCTCAGCTACAAGGGGGAGAGGGCAGGCCAGTAATGGAGCTACGTTGCCCTGGGGTGGCAACGGGGAAGGAGAAAGGACACCCCCATTTACTAAACACTTACCATGTATCAGGCTTTATACATCTTATTTTGTTTAATTCATAAGGCCCCTAAAATAGGTGGTTTCCTCCCTAATTTACAGACAGGAAACTTGACCTTGTAAATGAGTGGCTTGTAATAACACAGATATAGGAGGGGACAAAGTTGGGATCCAAATCAGGTCTGACATCTCTATACCACATTGCTGCCACATAGGTGGCAAAAATAAGAGCACTTAAAAGTGAGTTGAAATTTAGGACACGACAGCTGAGGGTAGCTCTGAAAGCTTTCCCTTCCTGTTAGAATTCTGAAGTGTATCTTCCCTTTGACCATGTACCACCCTGTAAGGTGATTATTTAAATATGTAACTCTTTTACATGTATGAAGACAATGCCAGGACTCAGGGGCCTTTTCCCACAAGGAACACACAGAATGTGCTCAGGCCAATGTAAGCAATTCACCATTTAGAAAGCTACCTGTGCAGCTAACATAAATGGCAGCTCTGTGCACACCGCACAGGTGAGTCAGTCTGGATTACGGAAAAGCTTCAGTCTGAATTACAGAATCAAACATAAATGAACAAGGGTGAATTAAGATTTTTCACCTAAAGAGGTTACATATAAGTAGAAATGTAAGGGTATAGGTTATTTTAAATACTGATTAATAAAAAGGCAATACTCAATTACTGAAGAAAGGAATGCATCAACCTAAATATTTGCTTTTCTCCCTAATTTTTGTTGTTGGTTAGAAACAATTCCTTGTAGAAATTCTTCTTTTTAAATAGTCCCCAGAAATGTTTAAATAATTGGAAATTTGAATATCAAGAATATGCACAAAACAAAATTTCTGCCTTCATTCTTATCTATGCTTGTCATCTGTCAAAGAAGGACCACATTTTGAACACAGGAGTCCCAGCGACATGATGAGCAATCCTGGAAAGCATCTGAATAATTCAATCCAAAACATGAAAGTTCGAAAATTATTAGGAGTTATGCTTTCCTCACACTTTCTATTAACACTTGAAAAGCAATATAAGTGTTACAAAGTGTTGTTCGGTAAAACCAGAACTAGCTTGAACTGTTCTGTCCTACCTTTGCGAGGGGAGCCTTGAGGAGATGCGGGAGGACTAGAATGCAAGGAAGATGCCACAGAAATAGTGTCTTCTGTATTTTTCTTACCACTTATTTCTTCAGTTGCTCCTAAAACTTTCTGAGGTAAACTTGTACCTAAAAATAAAACCAAAGAGACACACATCACTTCACAATTAAAAGGTCTGTAGCTGCCTAAATTACTACATAACTAAAGCCATGATGCACAATGACTAGTGTAGTCAACTGAAATGTGTCAATGACAAACGGGGACTAAATGACTGGGTAATGGCATACAGAGATTCTCACCTCTAGGTCATTTGTTCAAATTCAGCCAGTCAGCACAAACCAGATTATAATAGTTTTTTGTTTGTTTTGTGGCATAAGGGAAATAGATTTAATAGTCTGAGTACAGTGTCGCACTCCCCACAATTGACACACTCGTTGGAAGTCATGGATTCGAACTCTTCCCTCCCCTCTAGAGGTGGCCTCTCCAAGTCAGGGTGAGGCATGTGGCAGGGGCAGTGTAGGGATGTTGGCACTGTCACTACCTGTGGTGCATCTGTGCTGTGGGAATATAGAAGAGGTTGCAGGGCTGCCAGTCCAGCCCTTTTCAAGACCACTAAATTCACACTACAGGAGAGAAGTAGACAACAAAAAGAATCATGAATTTATAGAAAAATAGTATGGAGCCCACTGGGAACACTTCTGCAAAGTTCTAGTACTGCTCTTGTCCAACAGCTGGAGCTGGTCTCGTTTAACACAGACCAAACTTAGCAATGGTTTCAATACATAGTTTTACATTTATCTCCTCTAAGAAATGTGAGGGCTACTGACACCACTCTCAACCAGTAAAGCAAGCCCAAGTCTGATGAAGATTTGGCATAGTAACAATCAGTCCTTTGACATTGAAAAAATTTAAATCGCAGCATACTCACACTACTTTTAATTAAGTGCCATGTTAATATAAATATATTTATCACGTAGATAACGGCCATATTACAAAAAAAGGTAAGAGGGCTACCTGGTACAAGTAATACTGTATCTTGGGTGATGACATCTAAGTAAGCAACTAGAGCTAGACTCATCCCATTTCTCACTCCTATGGGCATATTTTTCAACTTCACCAATTTTGCATCCAATTCTCTCTTCATTTTCACTAGCCACCAAACTATTTCAGGCTCTGAGAACCAGCTTCCCATTCATGCTCTCTCTCCAGTCTTCCTGCCCTCCCTGCTATAGCCCTTCTCCAACATAAACTAGATCATAACCTTCCCTTGTTCAAATCTCTTCAATAGCTCCCACTGACAACTTTCTTTAGCATGCCATGTTAAAATTTCAGCATGCCTATGACTTCACTGCTCTTCATCCTGGGTGGCTGTTTAGTATAGTAGCTAAAAGAAAAGACTTTGAGCCAGTTAGCCTAGGTTTAACTCTGAGCTCCAACACTTACTGGTGATGTCAGTTACTCAGACCCTCTATGCTTCCTCTGTAGAGTGAGAATAGTTCCTATCTTATAGGGTTATTATAAAGATTAAATGGATATAATATATAAAGTGAGAAAAGAACTTAGAACTGTATGACACTCAGGAAGTCCTCTATAAGTGTTAGTTTTAATTACTGTCTCAGCACTGTTCCTACAGCTCTGTACTCAGAGGCAGCAAACTGCCTGTAGCTCCTTCTCTGGAATCTTTGCCTAATTACTTCTTTCCTGATCAACTTTTAAGACTCTACTTAAGTGTTATCTCCAAAAAACCTCCTCTGAAGCTTTCTCTACCTTCCTTCCGCCTGACCTAAAAGCTGTCCCCCATTCTGTTCTTTTATATGTTCTGTACAGACCCCGGGCATAACAGCAAACTCATTATACTAAAGTTATCACCAGACTGATAGGAGTGGGAATTTCTTTTCAATTCTGGATCTCAAAACAAAATCAAATTAAATTCACATTTCACAAAGTTCTGCTGAATATGTCCTATGTATAATGCATGAGCTAAGTAATAATGCTAAGAACCATCTAATCTGGCTTCCCATCTGAAAACTGAAATAATGACACAGTTAAAACAACAAATAAAATTTTGATAACGTCTACATGGCCTAACAGAGGGAAAAAAGTACGGTCTGTACTTTATATACTTTATACTTTCTCCTCGTCTCCTAACTAGGTTTTGAGAAGTGGTCATTAATGAAAACCAACATACAGTCACTTTAGAATAAGCAACTTCGTTCTCACGGGTTGCAATAGATGCACCTTTGACTACAGTAAGCCCTTGGTACTCAAGTCTATTGCCATTAGGTTTTTGGTTGATATGGTTATGTGAATTCCAATGTCAATATTTAAAATATGTATGCATCATCCAAAACCTACATACAAAATCAAACAGTTTTTGATTCACGAGTGATGATTATATTATACAAACTATAACAGCTGATCTAAACATTTACATTTACAATTTATTTTTCATTCTAACTTCCCTGGAAATTTCAATTAAATTAATGTGATATTAATTGTGACTACTCACTCAGTGTGCCAAGGTCTTTTGCTTGTCCCTTCTTCCTGATGGGGTGCAAATTAACAGCTGGCACCTGCAGCACCTGGCTCACTCTGTGGGGCTGCTGTGAATGGGCTTTAGCTGTCAGGCCAGCTGACCGCAGAGGCACTGGAGACATTTCTGATAATTTGGCTGATTTTTTCTCAGTTAAATTCTTGGTCACTAAAGCACTAAAAAAAAAAAAAAAAGGTAAGAAACACTTTATTCTGCACTTTTTTAGGCAAGGTTATTACTGCTGCAATAATTAATGGTTGCATTATGCCAGACAAGAAAAAGCAAAAGGAGTTCAGCATCACTAAACCAGTGTTACAAGATAGGTTAAAGGGACTTCTTTAAAAAGAAGAAAAAAAAAAGATTAAAAAATTAATAAAATAGCAATAATTACAAACATATTAACAATTACTTTAAATGTAAATGGAGTAAATGCTCCAATGAAAAGACAGAGAGTGGCTGAATGAATAAGAAAACAAGGCTCATACATATGTTGCCTATAAGAGACCCACTTCAGATTGAAAGACACACACAGAATAAACGTAAAGGGATAGAAAATTTCATGAAAATGGAAACACAAAAAAGGCTGGGATAGCAATACTTATATGAGACAAAACAGACTTTAAAACAAAGGCTATAACAAGAGATACAGAAGGACCCAGAAATTCCACTTCTGAATATTTATCTGAAGAAACCCAAAAAACTAATTCAAAAGTATGTATGTATCCCTATGTTCACTGCAGCATTATTTACAATAACTGAAATACAGAAGTAACCTAAGAGTCCACCAATAGATGAATAAATAAAGAAGTGGTACAAAATATACGATGGAGTATTAGTCAAAAAAAAGAATGAAATTTTGCCATTTGCAATAACATGGATGGACCTAGAGGGTATTATGCTAAGTGAAATAAGTCAAAGACATATACCATAAACAAAAACAAAGTAAACAAAAGAGAAACAAACTCATAGATGCAGAGAACATTTTGATAGTTGCCAGATTGGGAGTGGGTGAAAAAGGGGAAGAGATTAAGAGATACAAATTGGTAGTTACAAAACAGTTATGGGGATGTAAAGTATAGCATAATACATATAGTTAATAAAATTATAATAACTGTGTATGGTGTCAGACGGGTAGTAGACTTATCGGGGTGACCACTTCATAAGTTATATAAATGGCTAATTACTATGTTGTACACCTGAAACTAATATTGTATGTCAACTGCAATTGAAAGATAAAAAAAAAAACTTTAAAAGGTTGCATAAAAAACACCTTTTTAAACACAAATAGATTAATTTCCTAAAATATAACTTCATATAAGTATTACAAAATGTTATCTCTAAAATATTTATAAAGTTGTTGATTTTATTTCCTAAATACTTTTTGACTCCATTACCTTAATTAGCTCCACCTCTACCATCATCCTGAAGGCCAAGTTAACATCCTCTCATCTATGCTTTTGTGGGACAGTTCCTGCTTCAGATTTGTACAAACAGCACAGAAGGGCACCAGTCCCACAGAGAGCAGTCCAGGGCTCACATCCATTCTCCCCTTCTCTGGAGCCTTCATGGGGGGCCTGGGCACCCTGGGAGCTGCAGCTGCAGCCTTGCCCTTTAGCTGGCAGAGCCTGAGACCCTTGGCGATGCAGGCATGAGCATGTTTTCTGAGCTTGGGGTGATCAAAACAGGCAGGTCAACTGAGCTAGCAGCTTCTGCCCTTTGGGATCTTGGGCTTACGGAGGCCTTGACAGTTACGGTATGTGCACTCATGGCCTTGATGTTGTTGCCCTCCATCTTCTTCAGGCCCTTACTGTTGTGCTATCTGGCACGGCACATGTTCCTCAAGAACTTGGGGTCCACTCTCTTAAGAGACTCCTATCTTTGTGACTGGGGTTTCTTGATGCCATTTTCGGAACTGGCTGTGCATGGTGTGTTTTAGGACTGGGCCATGTCTATACCAAAGCACGCAGCTCCTAAAGCACCTGTGCCTGGAAAAGCTAACATCCTCTCACCTATACTGCCAAACACTCCCCTCACTGTTACTTCTAGCATGCCTTCGAGCCAGTCTCCATATGACAGCCACATGACTTTTCCAACATGAAAAGCTGATCATATCACTTTCCTTCTCCAAATGTCCTGCACAAACCTTTAGGTGACTTGCCACTATTCTCAGGATGAAGATCCAAATCCCTGAAACAAGGCCCAAGAGGCCCTGCATGACCTAGCAATGGCCCGTTGTTAGCTTCCCTAAGATCCCACACTCTGCACCAACTAGATCCGATTTGTTTGACTTTCTCAAGGCATCCTGTATCTTCCCTTCACAGAGCTGATAACTGTTTGTAAGAAATCAATTATCTGTTAATCAATTAATGTTTCTGCCCCTCACTAGATTAACTATTGTGAGAGTAAAGACTGTCTGTATATCTTGTCTACTACTATCTCGCTATATGTCCAGTGACCGATAGAAAACAGATGCTTAATAGGTATTTGCTGAATGAATAACTATTTCAACAGTCATACAAAGAAATACCAGAGAGATAGTTAGAATATCTGGAAGTGAATGTCTGAATTAAAAACAGAGAACTCTGACTTAAGAAAGAAAAAGCTGCTCCCTTGTATAAAATCAATACTGTACTACTAAGAGTGTGGGGTGGGGGGGACTTCTTTCAGGTAGCACTTTTAATTCTTTGGTTATTCAGAATGGTTTTAACGCAGGTCCAACTTCCAGAACTCCATGATGTATTTGTTTTCAACACCACGATAAAAGCAAAATTAGCAAGTTTACCCTGTCACAGCACAGCTATAATAGTTAGCTATTATGCTTTTATTATGAGAGCCTAGAGCATATTTTAAGTGGTAAGAATTAGGGAACATCTCAGAAAGTCAAAACACACGGACTCCTGGGGGATAATATGCAGTGGATCATCAACTAAGTGAATCCAAGATGTTACCATCTTTTGGTAACAGCCATGAAACACATTTTCCTCCTTCTGTCAACACTAATGAATTCTCTACTGACATCTTATTTTATTAATAGCTACAGTACAAAGAAAAATATTGAGACTACCTAAAATATAAAGAAAGAGTTCATAGATGAATGCCAAAGCCCACATATATGCTGACCTATTAGGAAGAACCAAATTCTACAACTATTGTTTGGATTTGAGATAGTTATTATTTAAACATTTAAAAAGTAATTATGCAACAGAAATCAAAAGACTCGCAAACCAATTTAAAGAAACATGCACTGAATTAAATCTTTACAAAACTCAGTTTAAGAAAGACCCATAGGTTTTCTTGTTTTAAGTCAATATTAAATACGTAGTGAAGGACACCATTTAGTGATACGAAAAAAGAGACAAGTCCAGGGTGGGTGTGAGAAGACAAAGGTATACAGGTACGTGCATGTGGGGTGGGGAGAGGCAGGACACAGAGTTAGATAGGTGGGATAGTTCTGGGCCTCAAAATTTTAACATTGATCATAGAAAAGAGATTTCTATGTTCTTGAATATCCAAAATCAGATTTCAGAAACAAAAGCAGATAGCGACAACAAAAGACAAATACCCTTTACTAGATGAAAACAGGAATGACCAACTGTGCTACGTAACCATAAGATAATAAAGTCTATATTGAGTTACTTGGGAAAATTTGTTTTGATGGTCACAGTGCTTTAATAAGTTACATATGTATATGGCTTTGAACTTTAAAACATGAATAAATGTTAAAGATTCTACATACTCTGTCAGTCTTTACTTTTGACATGTACCATTGTCATATAGCTGACACTATTCTTTTTCATTCATAATTTTTTAACTTTAAATTTTAATTAGTTTCAAGCATAGCAGACATTGGTTAGACATCTATATAGTTAGTAAAATGATCCCAATTGCTCCCTCCCTCCCCTGATCCTCCACCTAGTCAATGTATTAATGCTAATTGCATTCCCTATGCCGTGCTCCCTGTCCCCGTGACCATCTATAATTCGTACTTCTTTAACCCTTCATGTTTTAAGTCAATATTAAATATGTAGTGAAGGACACCATTCTCCCAGCCTCCCAACTCCCCTCCCCTCTGTCCAGTACCATATTTGTGAGTCTGTTTTTGATTGGTTTGTTCTTTTTATTCCTTAAATTCTTCATATAAGTGAAATCATATAGTGTTTATCTTTTTATCTGACTTAAATACCTCCTAGGTTCATCAAAGCAATATCTTTTTCCATTCCCTTTTCATATGTAGGGGTCTTATTTTTTTTATCCTTTCAGCCACTCTATTTTTTGGATGGAGCACTTAATTCTTTTCTGTTTAAGGTACTTATTGATAGGAATGTAGTTGTTACCATTCTTTATTCCTGTTTTTGATATTTGTTTTTTCTTCTTAAAGAAATTTCTTCAACATTTCCTGTAATTCTGGCTTGGTGGTGATAAACTCCTTCAGTTTATTGTTGTCTGGGAAGCTCTTTACCTGTCCATCAACTTTAAATGATAGTTTTGCTGGATAAATTATTCTTGGTTGTATATCCTGGGTCTTCATCTTTTTGAATATTTTTTGCCAAGCCCTCTGTCCTGCACAGTTTCTTTTGCAAAATCAGCTGTCAGTCGTATGGGTGTTCCCTTATAATTTTTCTTTTGCTGCTTTTAATATTTTCTTTGTATTTAACCTTTGGCATTTTCATTATGATGTGTCTTGGTGTGGGTCTCTTTGGATCCCTGATTTTTGGAATTCTCTGAGCTTCCTGGGGTTTTATGTCCATTTCTTTCACCACGTTAGAGAAGTTTTCTATCATTATTTCTTCAAACAGCTGTTCAACATCTTGATTTTCTTGTTACGCCGATCAGACAGATATTTGGAGCTTTAACAGTGTCCCATATCCTCCTTAAACTATTTTTATAGTCTTGGCATCTTTTTTCTTGCCATTCTGACCGAATGTCCTGATTGGCTGTCCTGTCCTCTAGATAGGGCATGTGATCCTCTTCATTTACTCTGTTTATTCCATTTAACATACTTCTCATCTCAGATGTGTTCTTCATTTCAGACTGGTGCCCTTTTATAATTTCTACTTCCATTTTTATGTTTATCTCTTTGCTGAAGTTCTCACTGAATTTATCTACACTTCCCAAAAGTTCATTGAGCATCTTTATAATCAGTGTTTTGAACTCTGCACCCGTTAGATTACTTGACTCCATTATATCTGGATCTCTGTTCTGTTCTGTCATATGATTTCTGCTTCGTCTTCCCATTCTGGCTGCCTTTCCGTGCCTATGTACGAAGCAAAGCTCCTAAGTCTCCCGGTCTTATTAATGTGGATTTGTGAAGTAGGTGTCCAGTGGCACCTTCCAGTCCTGAGAAGGGTTCAGCTGCAGGCCAAATTTAGCTCGCCTCTACTCCTCCGGGGCCACCTGTTAAGATTCGGCAAGCAATCCACAGATGCTGTCCTTATAGTTGCCTCAAAAGGCCACACCAGAAACCGAGGTCAGCTGCCTCCACTAGTGTGTATCTCAACAAGGAGCACCTGACTCGCTGAGGATACACCTGGATGGGGCTTGGGTGGGGCTGCAAGTTGGAACAGGTGAGGTTTCAGGAAATCCTCTGGGTGGAGTGATAACAGGTGGAGTGACCTGTTATCCAGTTTGATGATGTCACAGCTATGGCGGCACCGTGTTGGGTGCACTGGTAAGGGGAAGGGCTCGACAGGGAACAATAGATACCCCCAGCACTTCTGTACCAGCGAGTCTCACCTAGGCCCTCACTCTGACAATGTCTCCCTGTAAGTCCCTGGTGTCCCCTGTGTGCAGCCAAATGGGCACTGGTGCTCAGTGTGAGCAGGTCCGTCACCACAAAAATCTGCTCCGTCACCGAAAAAATCAGCCCCTTTAAGAGGCGATCGCTGCTGCCGCAGCCCGCATCCTCGCCCCGTACCCTCACCCTGTAAAACCTTCTGCCATTGCAGGGTGCTTTTTTGGATTTCTCTGTAGTTGTATGGCTTGTTCATCTAAATCCTGGGTGATTTTTCTTTGCTGCTGCTCCTTGTTTCTGTCACAACTTTGATTTGGTCGCTAGAGGAATGAACAGAGCCTCTATCATCTACGCCATTTTTTTTCTCCTCTGACACTATTCTTAATAGTCCATGTGTGGTAAGGAATTCTCCTAGACATTTTCCAAGTCTACACACATTTATTATTTTTAATGGCCAGATACTATTCCTCGTATTGATATGGAAACAATGGACTTAAGTATTCTCTAGCATCCTAGTATCTGTGTGATTTCTTTTTCACTGTAACATCTTTGTATAAGCAGTTTTTTGGCTGCATTATTTCATTGGAATACTGTGAGGAATAAATGACATTATTTATAAAGTGCTTACCATGGTTGCTGGCATACCAAAAGCTCTTATTGTTAGCTTTTATTATTTTATTTCTTTCTCCTAATTTAATAGGTTCGATGTAGAAAAAATCTCAGGGATAAAACCTACTCCAGACCCTTGCTTGAGTTTTACATTTGGGAAAACAGATCTCAGATGAAGAGAACCTTGTTCAAGTGGCAATAAATGAGACTCAAACTGTGTGTCCATCCCTCATAGGTGCTCCTTCCATTACAATCCATTCCATTTCCTATTGGTAGAAGTGTTTAAGATATCCTTTTTATAACTAGCTTTACTAAATGGCTTGTTACCCTATATTTTAAAATTCATTATCACATCTGAAATTTTTAAATCAGTATTTGGTTGTATTTCCACTTTCTCTTTTCTACTCCATTGACATACTTTTTCAATTACTATGCAAATACCATGCCATTTATCAATCTCAGAGTAAACCTATGATGGTTACCATTTTCTCCTATCAATTAGAAACACAGAAATAGTAAATCTAAACCTTCTCCCTCTTTATTCTGTCAACATTTTACCAAGTTCTATGCTTCCTATTGGTACACACATATCATTCACTTATAATTTAAGAATAACCATCTTTATTTTGTTATGATACATTTTATCGTCTTTGATTTTTGCTTTTATAACTCATCATTTCCTTAACTCAGACACACATACGTTCCATTTTTTATTTAATTTTAAAAAGTTAATACTAATAGGTTCTCTTTTGCCCAGCATATTTTTTATGTTAACAAATCAGAATGTGCCTGATTTTTCTTGTTTTACCTTATTCACTGACACCTTAATATAGCTATTATCTCTAACAGTGTTTTAATTACATTTCTTGTATTTTCTAACTGGTAAATACTATCTGTGAAATTTTTCTATTTATTTATTTATAAATTTATTGGGGTAACATTGGTTAATAAAATTATATAATTTTCAGGTGTACATTATAATTTGACATCTGTATATTCTATTGTGTTTACCACTCAGAGTCCAGTTTCCTTCAGCTACCATATATTTGATCCTCTTTACCCATTTCAACTTCCCCCTACCCCCCCTATATTTGATCCCTTTTAACTATCTACCTACTCCTTCCTCCCCGATCCCCTACCCTCCGGTAACCACTAGTCTATATTCCACGTCCATGAGTTTCTGTTTGTTTGTCCTGTACATTTGCGAAATTTTTAAAAAGGTAAAAATTTCATTCATTTATACTCTTAATTTAAGGATAAAGGTAAAAATGTTCTTAAACAGAAGGGCTCCAGTCTAATGTTCCAATTTTTATGACTTTATAATGCTTTTTAAAGATGAACTACGTATCCCTCAAGACTAAGTGAGATTCAGTATCTAACAGGACAGTGTGATGCACGGGCTACATCAGTGGTCTTCTGTGAGCCAAGTTAAGTTTCTTGGGATGCTGGTGTAACTCTTGAGAAATAAATTTCTATTTTATTGTGCTATTTAGTGTCACATAAGAGAGAACTTATACTCACAGGTACCATATGCAGGCTCCAGCTGCAATGACATCATCTGGAACTTCTCCTCATCTGTCTCTATATCCAGACTAGAAAGATACTGCTTTACTTTCCTTGCCATCTGGGCATCCTCATATAGCTTCTTAGCATTAAGCAGAGAGCTGCGGCGTGCCCTTTTTTTGTGAGCACCTCCTTGAACATCTAGCATGTTTGAGCTTGTGCTGCCTTGGCTCAATGACCTGTAAGAAGATGGATATCACAATAAGGGGCCATAAAGATGAGCATTAAGCATGGCAGATTGAAGATTAAAAGAATTTTGTTCTGTTAATGCTATTGCATGCTGATGCAAATGAGTTAAAAGATGAAGAGCATTAATGCAAAGTAATATGGCACACATGGCAATGTTCTAAGTTTTAAGATTTGGAAAAGTGCAGAGTTCAAAAGCATAATGCCCCCGAGCAACAAATTCCATCAGACTTGTGTCTGTGCCTATGTAACCATGATACAACTGTGACAAGTAAAAGCAGTCCTCTGGCCCTGGTGGTCAGCCATGCTCTGCATATAAGGCAAGAGCCAGAGTCAAGACAAGTCCATCCTCAGCCAGATCTGCACCAGGGTTCTTCAGCACGGGAGTTTCTAGAGCAGCTCTGCTTGTTTACGCTGCTTTGGACACGCTATGGCCATCACCATTCCTGTCTATAGTAGCTCATTCTCAGCATGTTTACCAATTTCACTAGTAATCAGATTTTGGCCAAAATTCAAAGAGAACAACAATAAGAAGAATAACAGAATTTATATTCAATTCAATATAGTCAGAGATCAGAAATGCAATAAAAAGCTACTCGATGCTTCCACTCACATATGGAATGGTTAGGCTATATGTGGGTCCTAAGATTGGGGATCTGGGACCTGGGACCTTCTTTCTGCTATGTCTCTGATGTGATGGCACTCTAAGCTGGGTAGAAATAACCACACAAGCTATAGCTTTGCCCAACTCTTCCCTTTTTGGCAAACCCCCTTCTACAATGACTACATCTAGAACCAAAGGAAAATTGGAAATGCAATGCCATTTGTCTTTTCTAACATGGTTAGCAAACACAAGCTTCTAAGATGATTTTTATTTTAAAGGCAGTTGCCATTCCAAAATAATAAAGATATTTATGGGGTTTCTAAATTAGCCTAATATTTACACAAAAATATTCTAGATACATAGACCACAACCAAACAATTTGTTCTTCAGCGTTCATATACCCAGTTCAAAATAGATACTAAAATCCCAATGTTTTCATTGTAAATTAAGTGAAACACAGTTGTAAAAGTATTATAGTTTTGTTCTTCTTTCACAATTTTAAGATCATTGAAACAGGGTGTGTTTTACATTGACTAGCAACTTTCAATTCCTATTAGTCAGGCAGAAACTGTGACATGGTTGTCAATGCTTACACATGCAGAAATTTCAAAACTTGCAGAATCATTTGGAAGAAAATCCAATGACATTAGTGAATTACTCTTTTAACTTCCGGGAACCAAGTGATTATAAGAAGGTAGTAAATCTGGTAAGTTCAAAAATATTCCCAAAACAGGCATTAAAAGGGGGCTAGCTGGAAATGTTTGCAAAGCCAACCTCAGAGCCAAGCCACCAGTAGTTTTTACTTCTTTTATGGCTTGTTTTAAGAAATGTTTCATCACCAACACATTTAATGGCATATAAGGCAGTACTGTCTGCAAAAAAAGAAACCCAGAAACTAATAACTCTAAAGTGATTTAGAAGCTTCATATCTTGGTTATGAAGAAGTTTTAGAAAGACCTAACCAATTCAATTTGCTTATATTTTTCTTTTTATGAAAGCAAAAGGATGTTATGTGATAAAAATGTATACCTAAGTTTCCATAAGAGCTCTTTCATTAAGTTAAGTTTAGTGGTACCTAAAATATTTGTGTGTCCAACAATTGAAGTCTTAAATTCAAAGAAAAGCAGTAAAATCAAGTTCTAAAATTTAGGAGCAAATTTTAATACAAATATTTAATAATTTTATCTTAGTTGATATTTAAAAAGACCATAGATCTAAGATACATACAAAATTTCTAATAAATGAAAATACTGATAAATGACAACAAAATGTCTTCTATTTCCAAAACAGAAAACACTCAGAGGTGAAAATGAAAATATCTAGTGTTTGCTGGCATTACACAATGCAACCCTAAAGCTGATAATCAGTGACTGTGTTACATAAGTCATTCAAACAACCCAAATTCGCACTAAGATATAGTGACCAAGTAGTCTTCATAATAGTAATGCCAAGAATCAATTTCTATTTTCAGTGAGAAGAACCAGAAAAGACCAAGGCATAAATGTATAATATAGAAGAAAACACATGAGAAACACACAAAGAAAGAAAAAGACAGAAGGAAATTCAAGTTCACCAAGCTTAAACAGAAAACAGGACCACAAATAAGACAGGACTAAAGTTAAAATAAGTGGCTCACAAAAAATCCTTCTTACATATAAGAAAAGCTTCTAACCTCATGATTCACTATAGCCTTAAAATAACAAAATTCTTCTTAACGCAATCCCTTCATCCATAAAAACCATCTCTTTCAACAAAAAATGAAAGAACTACACAGATGATTTATAAGGTCCTAAAAATTCTACGATTCTAAATAGTTATCTAGCTATGTATAAGCAGAGATCTGAACCTATCTGAGTAACAAAAGGTGGCAGTTTCTGATTCTATTACAGTTTTAAAAGAGATAAGGGAGTCTTTAGAAATAGAAATTTAAAATAAAAATCAATGTTTTAAGTCTCATGGTGGATATGAGGAATTAAAATCATCTATTTCAATTTTCACTAACTCAAATTTTTAATTTTATTCACATACAGCTGCCATTAAAGTAACTCGATTTTATAGTATAGTTTGGATAAGGGCTGCCTCTTTTTGGAAAATTGATGGAAAAATGTAACCTTTATAAACAAACTTCTTATCCATTTTTATACTTACATATTTTTATAAAGCATGGCATTTGAATAAAAAAAAATAATGTGGACTCTGAAATCAGACCACCTATGTTTGGATCTATCATTAGTGAGTTGTAAGAATTCAGATAACTCCATCTTCTCCATCTGTACCACAGAAGTTAACAGTATCACAGAGGGTGGTTTGGAGAATTAAATAATCCATATAAAGTGCTTGGAACATTGCACGGCACATAGCAAGCACACAACAAATATTTCCTATCACCACCATCATTTAACTGACCCTGCTAAATTAAAATCTAAAAGGGACTTATGGGACATCAATAATGGAAAAGTAAAGGTAAAAAAAAAGCTAGTGCTATCATTATTTTCACTTTGTTAGCAAAAGGCATTTGTCAGGAATGTAGGTTGACAGGGTTAATAGAATGCATGCTATTTTTTGTGCGTGCATTAATGAAAAGGATGCAGTACATGTTAAGAGTTGCACGACCTTCATTCCAGTTGCATTCATCTCTACACTTACCCCAGACTCCGCCACCTCTTCTTCCTGTAAGCAAGAGCCACAAACATTGAAACATGTATTTGAATAGGAAAGCACAGAAAAAAAAGACAACAGTTGAGAGCCAGAAAAACTATGGAGACAGAATAGAACAGAAAAATTTTACTAGGAAAAAGTGGTAGCTTAACAGTAAAATGACTTTAATGAAATGCAGAGGGATAAAATGAACTATGATAGGTATTGAAGGCCAAAAACCCTATAATATTTTTAAAAATATGCTTTTAGACCAATTATATTTTTAATAGCTAATTCATCTGGAGGCTTATGTTAATAAGAAGCTTAAGGAAAAACATTTATTTACTATGAATTGTGAATTCAACGTTTTTAGAGAAGGAAACCTTAAATTGAGGAATAGAACTTCTAAGCATTTTTTGGAAAGGATTTTGAGCCACTTATTTAAGTGACAGGATGAAAGTACAAGGAGCATAAAGATCTGTCATTTCACTTTTAAGTACAGAAATTTCTCTGACAATGTATTTTATAAAAAATTTCAACGAGCAAATTCAACTTAAAAAAAGTAAACATGTATTAACATTTTTATAATACTGTAGAGCCTTATAGTACAATTGGACTGAATAGAGATTCTGTTCTTAATTTTTATTCTTATCCATTTTTTTTGCACCCCTCCACCTCCACCCCAGGGCTCAGCCCGCCCCAGACCTACACCCATCAAGCTCCAGTGCAGGTCGCCCAAGATTCTGTTTTCCAGGCTGGCAGAGTCATAGATTCATTATGGCTTCAGGAACCAGAGTGTTAACACACATGAGTAAATGAAGGTCCATATAAGACAACAGGGAGTGAAGGAGCACCGTACAGGGACATGTGGCAAAAACGAAAACTCAAAAAACAAACGAAGAAACGAACAACCCTCCTCTGGGTTTGCCTTGGTCCCTGGTTCTCACTGTCTTCTGCTCCCACACCCAAACAATGACATCTCATTATATGGGGTGATCTTTGGGGCCAGGGGGGACTGGGCAGAGAGGAGGAAATGTGACATACCCCTTTCCTCCACACTTTGAGGATCTCTGAACTAGAGCAACCATTAGATCAAGTCACAAAAACAAAGACTCCTGAACAGTGATTCAGACAAAATAAAACAAAAACAAAAAATCAATCCTGACACGCAGATTCTGTTTGGTTATAAAAACTCCATCTCCAGTTTTTAAAGAACTAAGTATTTTTGTTTCCTTAGTAGACTATATTTTTTAAGCCACAGGAATTGTGTATGCCTTTGTATAAATATTTCATTTTTAAAGCGCTATGTACTGAACCTATACACACAGGCCCAGAAGAAAATCAGACCAAAAATTAAAGTCCTAACATTTTATTTACCCTGAAAATTATAAAAGTTACTGGGAACAGCTTCCCAACATACTTTCCATAAGTTTCAAATAATTTGAGGAAACTTTTGCTATTACATTTAAAATGCATTTTTAAAAGCAATCTTAGAAGACCAGGTTAATATGGAATACAAATAATCCTTTCATTTTTATTAAACATGGAACATGTTAACATTTGTACTTTCTAAGTTTTGTTAAAGAAGTTACACGCAAATAAACAGCAGTACCATGACTTGGAAAAGAATATATTTTAGAAGAATAAAGTATGATTAGATGGAAAGAGAACTTAAAATATTCAGTAAAAATAAAAGACACATGCACACTAATATTTTACAAATTAGGTAAGAAACCAGATGAAAGCATTTGTCTTCTGCAATAACTATAGTAAAGATCAGAAATTTTCTTATACTTAAGTTAGCTGATACTTTAAATAACAGTAACAATACAGAACCTATCCATGTACTCAAAAAAAAGTAATGCAGAACTAGGGTTCATATCTTAGCAAGTTATGTAATCCTCGGCACATTACCTAACTGTTCTGAGCTTCAGTTTCTTCATAGGTAAAAGAAAGGCCAATATCACCTACGTTTTTAAGGGTTATTGCGATAAATGATTACTTTGAGATTGTGTAAAACACTTTGTACAGCACGTAACAACTGGTAGATGGTCAAAAAATGATAATTATTATGATTTTAATTCTATCACTCCTGACGCTGGCTCTAAGACTTTTACACACTTCAATGCCATACCTCTGTCGGAACATCATAGCTGGGTCCATGTTAGCAGAAGTCATTCGAACAACTTGACGGATTTCCTTGGCAATCATTCTTAGCTTCTCAAAATTTACTAAACCGTCTACTTTGGAGTCATTTCCTACAAAATAAAATTTTTAGTTTTTAAAATTAAAGTCTCTGTACAAAGGCAGCAGAAGTCAAGTTATATTTCTTGGGGAGGTATAAATAAGAACCTTCTTTCATTTTTAAGAATTGATAAACTTGTATATGGTTCTACCCTGCTCCCAGGGAATGAGCTATTGGGAGGAATTCTATTCCTAGGGAGGTAATGATTATGAATACTGGAAAGTGATAAACAGCATAGCTTCTAAAACCAATTTCATTATGTTACAGGCACATCTGTAAAATGTGCAGCTCCTCAAATCTAACTTTCCAGATGCTCTACCCACTCTTGGGCAGCCCACTCTCCCGGCCTCTGTTCTTTTGGGTAGCAGGGTACAGCACTTGAAAACTTAGGTTTTAGCCAGAGGTCACAAAGGGTGAGCTTTGGACTTAATTATTCCAGTAAGTTTTCTTTGATTTACAATACTTAAAAAATTATTAAATGAGTTGTCAACATTTAAGAAGTAGAAGATATCCCATGAAAACAAGAGTTCCTGACTTCTTTTGAAGAAAAAAGGGAAGGGTTGTTGGGGGCTTAAATAATAGTAGGTCTGTTTTCCCAAAGGGCAATAATATATTAAAATTAAGAGGTGGTTGGCTGAGAGTGATAAACACTTTCTGGTTTGCCATTCACCTTTCCTTTCCTGGAATTTGAATTTATAATCACGACTTTAATCATTTAACAGAAATTTGCTTTATAAATTTCATAATTTTTGTTTCTGTTAAGCAGTTCTCTGAGGAAAAATTCACATGACTTTCAAAACTGTCTCTCTCTGAAGAGAGTAGGTAGGAGACCAGACTTAGCCCATGTGTTGACTTGCCTAGTTTAAACCACAAGGCAAAAAATCGTATGTTCAAAGGGCAATCTGACTATCTAGGGCAGTGCGTGTGTGTTTTCCCACGCCTGTCTTTACTAGTTAGCATGACCTCACTTTTCTCTCATGGTATCCCTTACGTGCCTCTGTGGAACTCCAAGTCCCTGAAGACAAGTCTGAGAACCATATGGGCCTACAACACATGGTGGTCTCCCTCCTCATAGTAAACAGCACCTATACACTGGACATATGAATTGTTCATGTCTCAATATGAGTTGGAAACAAAATCAACAAAAATACTTTCAAGTTCAGGTAAATCTCCAATGCTTTGGGTTGGGAGCCTGAAGGGCTATATACCAAGACTAAGAATGAACGGAATGTAGGCTGGGGTAAAAGACATTAAATTACCTCAAAATGTGAAAGTGGATTAAGGTAATTTTGGATCGCTAGTACTCCTAACTGCCTGACAGAAGCAAGCTTTAATTCTCTCTAGAGGAACAGAACATCATCTGAAACCTCAGATTATTTAATTTTTTATACACAACATCCATTTGGTCAAAAATAACCAGGGCCATCAAGAGAAAACATGATCAAAATGCAAAGAAAAACAAGACAACAGACAGGGACTGACAAAGGATCCAGATTATGGGGTTATTAGAAGACTTTATGTTGAATATGTGCAAAGATATAAAACCAATACTGAGAACATGAAGGTAGAAAAATAAACAAATGTAAACTGTAAAACTGGGGGAAAAAAACCCCACCATAACTGCAATTAGGAACTCACTGGTAAAATTTAACAGTAAATTAAGGCATAGTTGAAGAGAGAATAAATTGAACAACAGGTTGGAAGAAATATCGAGAATGAAGCATGGTGAGAGAAAACTGTAAGAAATATGGAAAAGAGTATATGAGACAATAGGGGCAGTGATCAGGTCTAACAGAGGTGAAACAAAACCCCTGAAGAAAAGCTCGGAAGAGGGCAGATAAAAAACTTAAAGACAGAATGACAGAATTTCCCAAAACTGATGAAAAATATCAAAACACAGGTTTTAGGGTATTCTATAAACAAATCAGAACGAAAACGAAAACCAGAATGCCACACTAGGTCACAGAAAGAGAAAATTATAAAGCAGCTATCGAGAAAAGGGCAGAATACAGTCAAAGGAACAGCAAATAAGACAGCAGACTTCTTAACATTCACAGCGGAAGCCAGGAGACAATGGAATAATAACTGCTAAACAAAATCATGCCTTAAGAATGAATGTGAAGATATTTCCAGATAAACAAAAACTAAGAGATTTTGTCACCAGCAGATTTGCACTTAAGAGAATAATAAATAGTATTCTATAGGGAACCCCCCTGTCTCCAACAAATTGGAAGCTTTAATATGCAGAAAGGAATAAAAACAGTAACATCATCAGCATATAAGTAAAGCTAAATAAACGCTACTAAACAATGATAGTATCATGTGGGATTTTAAAGGCATGGCAACAACTGCATACGAATTGGGAGATGAGTGAATAAAATGTAAATGGTCTACGTTCCTTGCATCGCCTGACATATAGAAAAGTACTAATAAATATAAAACTAGTATCATCAAGTATTGTAATATTATAGTGTCTAGTAGAACACTAGCAAAAAGTAAAATGGTATATATAGCTAGCAAGTTATCAGAGAACAAATACCATACCAAAAAAATCGATTCAGGGAGACTGTAGATAAAACATATGGTAAAAGATCAATAAATTAGGCTTTTAAAACTAAAAACTTGCTGTTCATCAAAAGAACCTTAAGAGAGTCAAAGGCAAGTGGTTTTATACTCAGGATTTATAAAAAGATCTTAAAATTTTATTAAACAAGAAACAACCTAATAAAAAATAGGTGAGAAACCTGAATTGAAAATTGACAAGAGGACAAATAAATATATAAAAGAGTGCTATACCTCATTAGTATAAGGGAAATGCAAATTAAACCATACCACTACTGGAATGAATTAAAAAAAAAAAAAAGGATTTACCAGGTGTTGGTAAGGATGAAGAACAATGAGAATTCTAACAACACTGCCAGTGTTCCACTCTAGAAGATAACACCAAAATGTTTTCTAGAATTGGTTATACAAATATCAGGACCCATAAATTCCACCCTAAATTATATCAAATAAAAATGCATGTGCACTAAGAGATATATGCAAGAACATTCATAGCAACATTATTCGTAATAGGTGAACAGTGAAAACTATCAAATTCTCATCAACAAAATGGATAAATCCATTGTATTGCATTCATGTAACAGAGTACTACATAGTTTTGAAAATGAAATATAATTACATTCAAAAACATGGAAATATCACACAAATCTCATGCTGACCAAAATAAGCCAGAAACCAAACTAGACCAAAACATAAGAAGACAAACATACTCTATGGTTCTGTTTATATGAAGTTCAAGAACAGGTAAAACTAAACCACAGTATTAGAAGTCAGGACACTAGCTGCCTTTGGGGAAGAGGATGAGTATGGTAATTGGCAAGGGGAATGAATGGGGCTCCTGAAAGACTGGCAATGTTTTATTTTTGGCCTGGATGTTGGTTTCATGGGAGTCTCTATGAATTTACTGGTTACTTGTTTTGGGCACTTTTCTGTATGTGTTGAGTAGTTCTATAAAAAAAATTAAAAAAAATATTACTAAACAAAACAACCAATATGATCAGTCTGATTTTGGTATAAGTGAAGTTTATGTTTAAATGAAATTGGTAAACATCTAAATTTGTTCTTGTTAGTAATGTGGGTTTTGGATTCCTGAAATTTGTTGCATTTAAGTGGGTAAAGCTTTAGGGATATATAATCAGGCTGAAAAGGTACATTAAATATAATAAATCACAATTCTGTAGATTAGCTGAAGCTAAACATGCTAATTTTCAAATAACTTGTAAGTACCTTCATGTAGAAATGTCATATCTTTCTTGACAACAGGGAAGAGAGGAATAATTGGAGGCTGCATGCTTTGACTACTAAGAATGTTTCTATACTTTGCCATGTTTCTAGATGGATCAAAAAGGTCTTGTAGATCTTGCAGGTGTTTCTCATACTTGCTTGGTAACTTTTCCCAAGTACCTCTGAGTCGTGCTACAGATGCCAGGTTCAAGCCACTGCCAAAGATGAGAATAAAAAACATTAAATAGGGTCTTGGGAACAAGAGAGGACTCAGGTCAGTAAAGCACATATACCAAGTTTCTCTAATAAAGCTAAAATAGGCAGGGATATATGTCAATGTTTTGAAATAAACAGAGTAGAACCAAAGAATAATAAATAAAAAGAACTCCTTGATCTTAAAATAAGGAAAACTTCTTTCAGAGGAACTATATTACTTGCCTATAGTTGTATATTGATAGCCTTTATTTTGTAGTTTGCAAATAATAATTCCACAACACACACATTTAACTTTAAAAATATTCAAGTACCACAATGTTTTTGTTTTACTTAGGAATAACTTTATGGAGACATTATTTGTGAATGGTTTAAGTAATCTGAGCACAATTGTTATATAATAATTGAGGCAAGTTCTGGGGCTGTGGCAGCCTTTTTCTCTGAGATTTTGTCCACTCGCATCCCTGACTGCAATACTTCCATATCCCTAGGTTTAATCATATCCTCCGGGCCTACATTTAATCAATGTCTCCGTTTTACAGGATTTTAAACACACTCCGACAGTCCTAATTTGAAAAATAATTCATGCCAATTAAGCTGCAACATCTTCCTACCCCTTTACCTCTACATTACCATCTACAGGTAGGCTGCCAAATGAAGAGCACATAAATAGAGCCTCAATTTTCTTAACAGTAATCGCTCTTCTATTCTAAGACATCAGATTTTACCCACACCATTGTATTTAAAATGTTCTCTTGACTCCTGACTCTAAGGCTTAGAGTTAAGATAGCTTTGTTCTCTGTTTCTCTGAAATCATCCCAAACAACTACAATGATGAATAACAAATACAAATTTCATCACCAAAGAAACTACAAGATATCTATAATTCCTAAACACATTAGAAAGGCTGCCAAAAAATAGTCAACGCCAAATATGAGTATGCAAAATGCTGAAAAAGGATGTCCATAGCTGAAGATCTTGATGAAAGCAGGTAACTCAACCTGAAGGCAAAAACAGCAATCCCTATTTGGAACAACACAATCGAGTCCACAGGCTGATAGAATTAGGTGGGGGCTGGACTCTGTTCTTTAGCAGGGAGTGCCAGAGAAAGTAAGATTTAAAAAGTAAACACAGTGAGAGAACATCTTGGTGAGAAGCAGGATAGAAGGGAGAAACTCTGAGTTGTAAGCAGCCTAAGTTGCCCTCTCCATTTGCTGAAAAGAAGTAAAGGATAAAACAATTCACATTCAAGCTCAATTCCTGCTATCCTGGAATACTGCCCTGGCTCCTGTCCATGGGACCCTCTTGCAAACAGTTGGCACAAGAAAACTCATGTCATTTAAAAAGAAAGTATGAACACAGGATCTATAACAGGTTGCTATAAGGAAAAACAAATAGTTAAAGAACATAAATCAGAAAAATGTCAACAATTAAATAAAAACTGGGACTAACCAACAACCTAACCATGATTTCCAATAAAATAAAAAAGAGGTTAACGCGGTGATATAAGAGCATAGAGAAAATATGGTAATATCAGGTACATTAGAAGTAGATGAAAAAAAAATTAGTAAAGTTCAGGAAAAAAATGGAAGAAAAAATAAAACCAACAGAGAAATGAAGGCCACATTGTAACCTACATAAACAAAAAAGGAAACTGCTAAAACCTCATGCAAACGATGGAAGAAAGGATTAACAATAGCAATCAATGGAAATGGACAGAGTTGAAAGGACTAGAAAGAAAATAATGGATATGGAACACAAAGGAGATCTAAAACCTGCATATGTATAATAAAATGCTCTTTATAACAAAATGAAACTTTTATCCAAAAAGCAAAGCCTTTTAACCAAATCCCAGGTCTGTCTTATATTCATCTGGGGGCTACTGTCTTTCCTTGGCTTTAATGACACTAGCAGAACTGTGCTATTCTATTATTTCTTGCATTGATCCCTCTGTCTCTGGTGGGTCCTGCATTGATCCCTCTCTCTCTTCTTTACCCCCACACTGAGGAGGGTCACTGGGGTGTGATTTTTAGATCTCTACCATTTTCCTTCTACACTCTCTTTTTACAGAGAGATCTCCTTGGTGCCAATCTGTTTTCTTCATGGAGTACCCCAAAATGGAGTCTGTAACACTCAAATTCTTTACCCTATGCTTCTTGCACAGTTTAAATTTCTAGCCTTTCAAGTGTTTATCAGTTGCATCTTTGTTCCACTGTTGTAGATCCAGTTGTTAAAAACAGTGAGGTAGGTGGTGTAATTCCTGTATTTTACAGATGAGAAAACTGGTCTTCAAATTTCCATTGACACACTGCTACTACACAGGGCAGGCAAGATTCAAATTACAGGTGCAGTTGATTCTAAAGGTCACTCTGTTAATTTCTGTTCAATACTCCTTCTACAGTGTCTAGTTCAATTGCAGCCACTGGTTTACTTCATTAATGAGTGTATAAAACCATGAAAGATTTGTGATTAAAAAGTCCCTGTAAAGAATTCAATTTTATTTCATGTGAGTACTAGGAACAAATTACAATTAAATTCTGTGGCGTGCACGCAGGTCAGGGTGGAATTATGCCGCTATACGTAAGTACACGGCTTTATGAATGGCCCAAACTACAACTCTCACCATCCTTTAAAATTAGACTTGCTTTAAGAGGAATCCCTCTGTTGATCAGCACTGTGCTGGATAAGGGTCAGAAAAATTATCTAGTTTGGCTTTGAGTGGGGATAAGGAAGAAGATTCTTGAGAGCTCGTATAGCTACCCACACTCTCTGGACTTCTAAACTTTGAAGGATTTTTATAATTCTAATGACCTACCTTGCTTGAGCGGCAACACATCCAGTGATACCTCATGCAGTGCCTAGGAAATAGGAAGAGCTCACCAAATGACTGTTGCTGTTATTTCAAAACAGCAGTTTTGTTAGAGCATAAATACCACACTGATTTTTCAGTACCAAATCACAGTGAGGCAGGTACTGTAAGATGAGCAGCACAGAAGTCTGATGATAAAGACCAGTTGTTGGGCACAAACCCAAAGAGGTCATAATCCATCAAAAGGGGAGAAAGGAGGAAAAAGGAGTGATTGGCAAGGGACTCCTCTCAAAAAAAAAAAAAAAGTTTAACAGAAAGGTAGAAGAAACAAAAAGAGAAAAAGCCAGTATCACCAGAATGGAAAAAATATTAAATTTAACAATACTTTAAATCAGCTTCATGTCTAATGTGATAAAACTATACACAAATATTTGTACGAACTTACCTTATTATTGCAAACATGGAATTGAAGTTCTTACATTCACGACAATGAAGTGCAATTTTAATAAAATGCTTAATAATCTTCATTCGTTTAAGCTGATTTGATTCAGTTAAAATCTCTGAGGCAACCCAGAATGTCTCTTGGTTTACAATGTCCTCAAATTCTTTCAAGTGAGTATTTCCTGTTTTGGACTCTAACTTAAAAAGGTCACCAATGTATTCAGTAGGCTCAATATTACGAAACAAATCAAAGTCCCTCATTGATAGCTGAGTGGCCAACTCAATAGTACTGAGCTGCAGCATGGATAGCTGGCTTTCCTTAACTAGTTCTTGAGCATCTTCATCAGAACATAAGGTTTCTGTTTCCATGTTATTTTTTAAATAATACCTAAAAGGAAAAAAAAATTGTTTTTATAAGTGATTTTATATTAGAAGAGCACTTTATTATTGTCAAAATATCATTATACTGTTAAGAACTTTTTGCCAAAAATGTTTGCAGACTATTTACTTACAGATGAAATAGAAAATTACCATTTTAAATGAGAAAACTTTTAAATGAGAAAATGCTATGCGACATCTATTATATTAAAGAGTAAAAACAATGTTGATTGTCCTGTGAACTTAATTTTATGAAACTACTCAAACGCTGTGTGAACGATCTTGCGTATATTCTTGAGGATGAGGGCTCTATGAGGGTATCTAATACACACAGGTGGTATGATGTAGGTACTGCTGTAAGTATTTGTTCAGGGATAGCATGAATAAACACCCAAATCAAGACTATTTATATTTCTATTTAGAAGTTGCTGATGCACTCATTCCCTTCATTTCTAAATTTCCAAGAGAAGCGAAGGATAAAACCCATAAAGAGGAGGGGAAATGGTTTCACTAATGATTTCCTCCTTATTAAATACAAAGACTTCACTCTAGCAAATGACATCGGTGAACAATCATAAAAAAGACCTTCATTTTCCCTTCTTCTTTTTAGATCAATAATTCTATGGCAGTTTGGAAAATAACTTGTACAGAGCTGTTGGTAGGGAAAAGAGGGAACGCAGTATATCACAGGTAGCTTTTACTTCATTCTTTTTCATACATAACTTGATCTAAGTCCATCTACCTTTTACAGTCAAAGAACTATCCATCTTTTTCTTCTGCCTTTACACTGCTCACAGGCCTAAGTAACAGTGCTAAGACTCACTATACTATAGATAATAAAATTATATCTAATATACATAGAGTACATTTATTAAATTATCTAATTCTTATAACATTCCTATGAGGGATATGCTATTACTAACATCCCTATTTTATTTATGAGAAAATTCAGGCACAGAGAAACTAAATAAGCTTTCTAACGTGACACAGCCAGTGTCAGGGTTAGAATTTGGGCAGAATTAGGCCTCTATCAACAGCGACCATGATGGGCAGTTGTCTAAGGCTTTGAGGGTCGCATTCCACATGTGAACCTAGGCTCACCAGAAGATTACATTACTCTCAGAGAAAACCACCAAAGAACAAACATACTACTGAAATGATGTTCTAGCTGATCAAATAATTTTCAGAGCACATCTTTAAAAATTAAAAAAAATTTCTGCATATTCATAAAAGGAAAACTACTTAGAAAAAGAATTGGGAAAATTATGGCTTCTTTTGCCCAAAATATATACTGCTCATACTAAAAACAAATTTATAAATACATATACGCTCAGATACATATAACGATATGCATCATTTAGTTTTCTCCTCTGTAACGAACAGGGATTGGACTACCTCATTGGTTCTAAGACTTTATTTTAGGTAGGGGCTAGAATATTTTAGCAAGTTGTCCTCCCTTTCCCTTTTCCACTTCTGAGTGGCCTTTATGAGTCCTACATAATTATGGAGAAAAGAAAAGCTGAAAAAAGAGAAATCTTACTTTAATTTTAGAGAAAACTCTAAAGATATTTAAAAATACCTGTTATCATGGAATCTTCAAAAAATATGTCTAGAAATAAGTACATTCACTAAAAAGTACATTCACCTTCCATTGAGCTGAATTCTATCAGCTAATTTGGAGAACTGGTCTGGAAGTCTTCTCTGTTTTATGACACCCTCAGGAGTGACAGAAACTTCACAGAGAGAATATGTGTCGGATGCACCAGTCAAACCAAATTCATGAACAGCATGACAAACAACTTCTTTAGCTGTAGTGTCTTTACTGATGATAATGTAGCAACTTTGCTGATCTGCTTTGAAAACTCTTATAACTTGATCAGGAATATCTATATAAACACAAAAATGTGTCTTGTTATTTTCAAGAAAATTACTTTAAAACTCTTCCACAAGCAATTTGGAACACAACGAACCCTCTAAACAGTGAAATATATATATTTCTATTTCAGGAGGTTAACAGAAATCACCTCTTATTTATTGATACACAAATGTATCTTTTCAGGTAACAAAATACTAATAAATATTCACAGAAAAATACACAAAACAGATAGAAATTAGGGTCATGCTATACATATAATTTGGAAGCCACAATTCTATTTATAAACATTTTACTGTCATTTAAAATTTTTTTAATTATCCAAACCCTTAATGATAGGCACACATATCAATTTCTCTTCTCTTCCTGCTAACATACTATAACATCTTCTGGGAAGGAACACAAGGTTGTGTATCTTGGTAAATAGTGTGAAAAAGTCATACTCTGTTAAAGCCATTTTTCCCCATGCAACAGACAAACTATTATCTAGTCACATAAGAGGGATTCAGGAATCATCAATGGGGACTTCTAGAACAGACTCACTATTGGGATTATCCAAAGGCCATCCCATAACCCAAACCCTGATGAATTTGCCAAGGTAATAAAAATGCCAATCTGAAAAACATCTGAGAGACACAGAGGAAAAATTTCCTGCAGTAATATTAGTGTCAGCATAAACCTCTTTTTCTATTTCAGAACTGCTACATGTATAATATATATCCTTTACAAACATGTTAGTGAGAGAAAATAATATATACCACATATAATACTTGGCATGTGGCAGACTCTGAAATATTAATTGATTAGATGAATGGTAAATATGAGGTTAGAATAAAGTTGAACCAGAAAGAAAAATGATCTAATCAGTTCAAATTTTAGACTTGAAGCAAGAATACAGATGAAAATATAATCCTGTAAGGGCAAAACAGACATTTAAAAATAATCTTTGAAGAGTTCAGCCTTTATTAGTCTCATGATTCCTATTTCATTAATAAAATTCTTATATAATAGGTAACTGAATTAAAGAATTCTCAGATAGCTGGACTTCCAATCCAAAGGCAAAATTTCTAGAGTGCTCACTATAATCTTATATGAGTGAAAATAAAAAATGAGATACACAAAGGATGCATGTATTAATGCAGAGGTTACACTAAAAATGGAAGAAATTTTTACATATTTGAGATGGAAAAAACAACCAAAACAATAACTCTTCATTCTGCTTTAAATTGTTAATTGCTGAACAAATATTTATGGAGTGTCTGTTATGTGTCAACAGTGTTCAGGTGATGAAGATACAGTAATAAATGGACGAAGATGGGCGAAACCTCTGTTCTCATGGATTTGCTTGTATTCAAGAGAATAAGTGGTAGTTCAAGGAAAGACAGACAACAATCAAGTAAATCAGATAATCCAGATTGTGAAAAGTGCCACAAAGAAAATATCGAATAGTAGTTCAATGGTACAGATGACTGAGGACTGTCAAACATTCTATAAAGAGCCAGATAATAAATATTCTAAGTTGGCAAGCCAAGAGGCAAAAGAGATGATATTTTGTAGGTTCTTATATAACAAATTTCCACAAGATTTTTAACAAAACTCAAAATTTAATAATGCAAATGTAAAACATGTAAAGATATGTAAACACAGAGGTTTAGGCAACATTGTAAATGTCCACTGGTTAAATGGAATATTACTAGTTATTTAAAAATTTTTGGTAGAACAATACATCCTGATACAGAAAAGTATTCAAGCTATGTTGCTAACCGAAATGGGCTAAGTAGAGGAAAAGTATAGCATGTCATTTGGAGGAAAGGGAATGATACACACATTTTATGCACACTGCAATTTTTGGAAAGATATACAAGTAAATGAACAATTTTTAATTCTGGGGAATGAATACTTTTATATTCTGTCGTTTCTCTACAGTTTGATGTTTTTTAAATTATATGTTCTTTCATAATTAAATCAGTTAAAATAACTCAGACTTCCAATGTAGAAAGAATCTGAAGTTTACTAAATATTAAAGAAATCAAAAAAGAGTTTTGAAGACTCAGAAAAAAAAAATTCTGAAGTTTCAAAATCCTTTCAGCCACACTCTGAATTCTTTTAGGCCTCATCTCATTAGGTTAAAAATTCCAAAAAAACTTTCACAAGTAATAGAATGGCATGTATACTCTGACGCTAAGAAAATAAAAACATATTCAAAGAAAATGACTAAAAGAATACATACATGCCAGTTTACAATGGCAACCTTGTAAGTCGATAGAAAAGTTCTGCCTCCTACTTCATTTCTTTATCATTTGACTTTAAAAAACTACTACATACAAACATAAGCAATAGAAACCATTGAATCTTCAAGATACTTACAGTAAAAACCAACAGCTGTAGGCAGCAAAAACAAGGCAAAACCATAAAAAAGTGAGCAATCAAAAGCACACTATTCAACAGTTCCGTAGCTTTGTCCCCGCTTTCTAATAACTTTAAACATACAATATAACCAAAAATGAGATCAAGACTGACAAAAGTTAATCTAAGTTAGCTGATGACACACATGTACTGCAATATACATTTGTGATGTGCACAGCTCAACTAAAATTCAGTGCTGTTGTATATAATTTAAGAAGCTGAATTTAAAATTAATTGATAATGAATATTTTATTAAACAAAAATATAAATAGCACCGCAAAAGGTCTTTCATAAAGTTGAACATTTTGGGGTTTAAAATAGGTATTTACAAGTAAAATACCTATTCTGTATGTGTTCATTTATATTGCTGGTATGGACACAGGCTGCAGACTAAGCTTTGCAGACCTTCTCTGACTAAATTTTAAAAGGGCTTCTTCTGCCTTTACACTGTTTTCAATGAAGGAATTATGTAATCAGTCTGAAATCAAAGTTGAGTAGCAATTCCTCTTCAGAGGTTTTAATTTCAGTGCCACGAGGCTTACAATTTCTAAATTTTAACAATTCCAACCACTTCCCTTTGTTCCCCTAGCTAAATCTCCAACTTAACTCTTCTCTCTCTTCTCTCCTTACAACCTATCCCTAACTCCCTCAGCCTACTTGTATATATTCCAGTGGCAAAAATGCAGCCATAAAAATTATTCAATCTATAAATCCTATGTCTCTAAATACTTACTTATGATTGTACAGGCAGACCTTGCTTTATTGAGCTACAGAGATGTTGTATTTTTTATAAACTGAAGGTAAGACCCTCCACCAGTAAAATGGTTACGACTCACTTTGTCATACTTGCTTTCTGGAGCCGAACCCACAATACCTCTGAGGTATGCTTGTATGTACATTTAGCTTGTGCTTTGGTAGTGAGAAAATACTTTGTGAATGCAGTGTAAGAATTACTGCTGTGGAACACACACACTGACGTGGAAATAAATTTCCATGACAAGCAACTGAGAGACAATGAGAATGTGCTAGAGATTTCTGAAAGAAGATGGACTGACACTATAGCAGAGGGATCTGGGCTTCCCAGATGAGGTAACATCTGAGTTCAGCATCAAGGGAGAGGAAAAGATCATAGGATACGGAGGGAGAGAACACACAGGTGGCAAACAGCACGGGCAAAGAGAGAGTTCTGAAAGTATATGCCAAACTCAGGGAAGATGGATGAGGTGACAGTGAGGAGAATGGCAGAACAGGCGGCTAGAAAAAAGGGTTTCTAATGATGCTGTGAAACTGGACCACAATAGTTAAGTTACTGTCTTTAGGCTCCAAACCCATCCTGCCAGTCATGATGGGGCTGAGACTTGTAAATCAGACTACTTCCGATCCACGGCCCAGGGGTTGAGGACCCCTGTTGCAGAAGTATTTATTTTTCCTCCTCTCCTTGGAATCAGTTACATATTTTCATTTTTTTTTTTAATCCCCCCCCCCCACCCCCTTCGCCCCCTGACCTACAGATGTTGCTGTCTCCCCTTAAGAACTGGATCTCTGAAGGCGGGGCGTCTCCTTCCACGCGCTCACGGTGTACACCTGGGCCCAGTGCACCCGAGTATGGGCCATGGCTCAGCTGGGGCTTGAACCCAGGACCTTCTGCATGTGAAGCAGATGTGCTAACCACTATTCTATGGAACCACCCCATATATTTTAATTTTTAACTGTATATGTCTTTTCTTAAAAGCCATCTAAAAGTTTTTCAAGTGATGGATATATAAATAATTCTTCTAAGTCGAAGTGCTTTTCTTCCTCATAATAAAAATTTAGATTATATAGTTAAATGACAATTTCTGCCTCTGCGTATCAATAGATGCAGAAAAAACAACTTTAGCTTCAGGTATTGGAGGGTAAAGCAGTGTTTCTAGAAAATTACTAACTTATTTCTGTACATCACAGAGGACGAAAAGTGAGACCACTTAGATTAATCTGCTTTATTCTCCTCCACACCCTGAATAACATGTTTCTTGGCTGAGAAGCATCACTGCTCTCGTTCCGCACCTCAGGCTGGGGTTATCAAAAGATACCCGAATGTAATCTCTTTTCTATGTGCTTCTATTTCATACTGGAGGAAGTGCTGCTGTAGCTAAGACCAAAAGACAATGTTTTTTTTAGCTTTCTGCATTGTCATAATCTAAAGGTAGGAAAAGAGCTGTAAGCCAATCTAGTATTTGTTGCCCGAGGCCTAACCGTCCACTTGTCCATTTGTTACCAACATGGCTATAAAAATCACAAACAAAAATCACCTGAAGGATTGGAGAAATCCAACATGCTAGCAGTAGGCTGAAGGAGATCCGGGCTGCTGGATGACAGTGTTCCAGGAATAGGCATTATAGCCAAACTGTGTCGACAGTGTCTTGTTCCCACAATGCTGTCGTCTTGTGACTGGCTCAGGCCACCATCACTTCAAAAGAATGCCAGATATCACTTTAAAGTATTTGAGGGTTCTTAATAGTAAACATCTCTGTTCTCTGAGCAGTAACGCATAACAGAACCAATTCAAAGTGGTTATTTTAAAAACTATATATAGCAATTTTTTTAAAAAGGGACAACTGTAATAATGAAAATGGGAATAAAATATGTTTTTAAAAATCACCCTCAAGTAAAACCTAACTTATACATCAAAGTAATTTACTACATCAGAGAGAAATAGTCACATTTAGTTTCTGCTAGTTTTGGTAGAGAAATTGAACTTGAGTGTTTAGGGAGCCCTTGAGATCAGCCAGTTCAGTGGACACTAACATGTGTATCCACCAATACATGGCCAACACCACAGCAAGGTTCTCTCAACAGAAAATCTTCTAGGCAACCTTCACAACCTTCTAGGCAAAGGATGGAGTTGGGTCTAAACCCAAACCAAAATTATGGCAGGTTGTAGAAAACAATGGGGACAGGTTCAAATAACAAAATAAGAAGTTTTTAAACATATCAGCAATCTGAGAAATGCCCAAACCATCAATAGAGAAAAGGTAGTAGGAAGATGGCACAGAGAACAGCAACAGACATATAATGAAAATATGTGACAAACAGAAAGGAAAAGGAGAACCAGAAACAAAAAAAGAAGAAAAAGAATTTGATAGTCTCTAAAATTTATTCCAAGGGCACATTATTTCTTGTGTGATCTCTCAAATCTCAAATCTATTTGGCTGTTCTTTAGATGAGAACATCAGAACCAGAGTAGAAAGCAAATCATCCAAAGTTAATTCCCTTTAAATGTTTCAAAAACACATATCAATTAAATGGCCATATTTTAGCAAATAAAATACTTTTCCTTGAAAATATTTAGGAGTGTTACACAGGCAACTCTAAATCCATCTAAAAAATAAAATCAAAGAAACATAACTGTCTCTAAGTTTTAGATAACCCAAAAATATAAAACAGGAAAAGCAAGAGTCCTACACAAACACAGAAGAGTGATGAAAAAAGAATTCCCATCGGCAACCAAAATGCCACTTATTTCTAGGGGTTATGCTTACTGTAAAACCAATGCTTTAGGTTAATATTAATTCCCATCTAAATTTTATTCAACGCAGCTTTCTAACCAGTACTTGCTACATATACAAATATGTAGGTATCACAGAATACTTACCTATTACTATACGGAATGGATTAAAGTCTGTCTTAAAAATGAGTGATATGAGGTACATCTAGAATATGTTAAGAGTGAAAAATAGGATTTAGGCAGATTAGGAAACTATGCAAGGTGAAGCATAGGAGACTATTAGGTAACAGCTAAAGGACTGTTAATAGCCAGACAAGAAAGAGAAAGCCGGGGCAAAAGAGTGTGCAGAGAAGTCAGGAAAAAGCAGAAAGACATGGAAGACGGCAAACATAAGCATTTCAAGAGCAAGCTATACGTCAGACTGGCCTGCGTTAATAGCTGTGTGACCTCAGCGTAATTTCTTTATTTCTGGACCTTGGATTCCTCATCTACAAATGTAAGTAATACTATCTACTCCCCAGGACTACTCTAAGGATTAAACAAGGTAATGCAGGTAAACATTCTGGCACAAAGGAAAATAAGATTCCTGTTTTTAAGATTAATGAAGTATTTTGTACCAAAATTAAAACAGAATGGTATAAACCTAGAAAGGATATTAAGTAATTCATATTGAAAAAGAGAAGAGGGCAGGGTGGGTACAACAAGTTAAAGGCATTAGAGAAATTGGAAATGCTTTTCTGGAGAGAGAAGGCAGTCTAATCTGACAAACAAGGCAATGGAAATATCTTATTTAATAAGCAACTTGTGTTTATGCTAAATTGGCTCCTTATAATTGTATATGTATTCCTGAAGATCAGTGCTAAATGTTTTAAGATTAGGTGAAAGGAAAAAAAGGAGGGGGCTTTCACAGACATTTTATCTATAGCTTTGTAAGTAATTTGGCAACCATTTAAATATTGTAGGAAATAAAATTTTTTTATACAACAGTCTTTTACTGATTTTTGAAAACAAACCTGCAATTTTTGGACACACAGGGTCAGGTAACTGAATCCAAGGAAACAAACTGTTAAAAGAGATTAGTCAGTCCTACAAATAACCAAAGTAGAAGCAACTTTAACAATGTTAAAATGTTACAATTTTCTACTAAAGAGAATTAGCTGATTAGCTGCAGCAAATTGGAATTTAGAGACTAAGAGAAGTGCATGAAATACTGAAAGTCCTTATTTATCTAACTGATCTTATCTAACACTACTTCTGCTTTTTAATAGGCAACAGATATGACACTATACAGTTACAATAATGTAAAGCTTATAAATCCATGGTAATCAAGGTGAGCATGTATAAATGAAAACTATACTAATGTTATGTACAACCCATGCTATGACATGAATGAAACAGAATCTGATTGGCAAAATATCCATGCTTGTTTGGAAGCTGAATTGATAATGCCTATTTGCAAATAGTTATGTAATTTCTTACCAAAACAGTCTCCTGAGAAGGTGATGCAGTAACAGAAACAAGACAGTTTTGAAAAATTCCTCAATAATTCCCCAACATTAAATTTATTTAAAGTATATTTTAGTTTCACATTATGAAACTAAAAAGGCTATGTAAATATCACCGATATGCAAATAAAAAATGAACTCAATATCAAAAACAAACAAAAAAAATGTATGCCCAAAAGAAATGGGGAGAGAAAAATAATTTCTGATAAGCATACAAGGCTATGTACTTCTGAGACCATTACAAGGAATAATTATAAAGATGTTAGGCAATCTGTGATTAAAGAAAATAAATTAAAAGCTGAGTGATTAAAAAAATAGGAGATCAGATTTCCTGAATTCTCAGGTCAATAAAAGCCACATTGCTATGACCTGACTTACAGACGTTATTGACTCAGGTCAGTAAAAGCCACACTGCTATGACCTGACTTACAGACGTTTTTTCTCATTTCTAATTTTCAAGAGCATTCCTTCATTTAAAAGTTATGTCACAGTTAAAGATTTTGAGAATGATGTGTTCGTAACTATTTGTTCCTTCCTTACACTCATTTTCTTTGCTCCTCTCACAGATGTAGATATTCTTTCTTACAGAATTTCTATGACAACTCATCCCCTCCTCTTGGAGAACTGAATGCTGCAGAAGGCAGAGACCAAGCGTCCCTTCCAAAGAGCCCTGGCACACAGATGTTCAGAAACTGTGGAATTAAACTCATCAAAATTTTTTTTAATTAAAAAATATTCAAAGTAGAAAACTTAAAAAGTACCGAAAACAAGCAAGGAAGAATAAGGAAAACTACCTACAAAACCACATCTTAGCTAAAACTACAATCAATGTTTTTCTTCTCATCATTTTTGCAGTTTAAATAGCACAACTTATTTAACCAATTCCTGTAGTTGAACATTTAGAGCATTTTCAATTTAGTTTTATTACAAATAAGACTCCTAGGAACATTAGGAATACAGAAGATCACATCATTTTATATTCCCACAACAGTCTAAGCTTATTAATTCTGGCCCTAATCTGTCAATCTTTAATGAAAGTTTCCTGTTTTAAACTGTATATCTTTGATTACTACTGATGCAGAACATGTAATTCATGTTCTCTGCCGATTTTTCTATTGAAGTTTTAGTGATTTTTTTGTGCATAGCAAAAGAGGTTGTCTGAATTCATTTGTAAGAATTAAGTGCCAAGAAAAATGACACACATTCTCAAAAACGCAAAGTGGCCAAATGACAAATCAGTTCTCACTGCAAAACAGACTCAAGTAGAAAAACTTTACTATTGTTACTAAAATATTTTGGGGGGTATTTATACAGCTGAAATTATTAACATTTTACTTAATCAAAACATGTTTAGAAGTGATAGCCAGTTTAATATTAACTCCTGAAGGGCAAGCAAGAGACTCAATAAATGTTTGTTGATTAACAGGAAAAAAAAAAATCCCTTCTGAGTTTAAGTAAAACTACTTCTACTAATTTTTTTTTTTTGGTACTAATATAAAGAAATAATGCTTGAAATATTAAAATAATTACTCTTAAACACTTCAATTTCCATGCCTTCTGCTGCAACCAAGACAGAATCCCAAGGACTAGCAGACATTTGGTCCTACTCAAAAATCCATGGAGACATTTGGTCCACACTGAAAGGTCTTGAAATCTGGTCCTGTCAAAACAACCATTGTATTTGGTCCATGCCAAATGGTCCTTGGTATTTAGAAGGTTGGTGATTTATCCAACCTTCTGCAAGATCTGAACTCCGATTCATGTAGGCTACTGAAGCAAGAAGGGTTATTATTGGCAATACAGCTACAAGAGTTATTGGACCAATAAAACACAATACTAATTTTTATGTACTGATCCTATAAACCAAAAGTATAAGTAAACATTATGGGCTATTTGAACTCAGGGACGTTCTCCAAGCGCGGATGTTTTGGATGGGCCCAAATGTTCTGCAAGGAACCCAAGGGGAGCAACCCATCCCCACCCCCGGAAGGAGGTACCACGGAGAAGACATATGGATTCAGCTGCCTGAGCCCTGAACACAGCTGGTTGGAATGTGAACTAACAAGCTAACATCAGTTACAACCAGTGTTCTCTAGCTTTTGATGATAACACGTCACAACTGTGCCATTGTTCAAAATGAGAACCAGTTAAAGAAAATACGTATATTCCAGACCAAACCCACCAGGGTTTCCAGAAGCGGACCTCAGAGCATTACCCCGAGAACGCTCCTTGTGCGCTCTCTTCTGCTTTCTGGTCCTCCATTCTTTTTCCTTTCCTCAGTGCCTTCATGAAGACTTCTTGTCCTCTAAAACTGTCCCCAATCTCTTCTGTGTGGGCTGGCCCCTCTTACATTCTTACTCGATGCTCATTTGTAAGAGAGCAAGCCTTTTCTTACAGTGTTTGCTGTGCTGTTAAAATACACTCAATATTGTAAGAATTTTTTTAATTTTAAAATAAAAGTGGTTTTTATAAACCACTCAGTGAGAGCAGTCACTTAGAAAGGAATTAGTAATAAACTTTCTAGAAATGAGTGACATTAAGACCAAAGCCCAGGAATTTTCAAACCTCTGTGAGCACCAACTTAAATGAAGAGCAAATTTGTTTCAGTGACTGGAAATAAGATCTCAAAAAGAATGTTTTCTGATTAGGAAATCTTTTGAGATCTTCATGTAAAAACTGAGAGGTGGCATTTATCTATTTCCAAGTAGTCTCCTAACAAGTCTACCTGCTGCTGCTGCTACACCTTCAACACCAAACTACTAACACGCTGAGAAAGATATTCCTTTTAGATAATCAGCTCCTGAAGGACAAAAAACTTGCTTTACTTATTTCCCCACATTTCTATCTGTGGACATTGTGCCTCATAATAAATGTGTGGAGAATAAAGTTCCTTAGAAGTAGAGACTACCTCTTTTCAGGTCTATAATTATGACCTGGCATAGTGCCAGGAACTATCAGAAGCCAAATCTGCATTTCCTTTGAAGATCTTTTGTTTGAATACGCTTTCTTTCTCTCTTTCTTTCACTGATTGTGCATGCCTACTATGTGCTAAGTACTGGATTATAACTTTTTTTGTGATCACCTACGGTAATAGATAATACAAAATATACACAGATATAACATACTAGAGGCATTTCCAGTCATGATATTTCCATGGGTTGATTTTACAGACCTTAATTTACATTTAACATCTTAAATTTTACTCAGTTTTGGTGACATCTTATTTTGGAAATGAAAATAGATTAAAAAGGTCAGCTTTAGAATTTAAGAGGGAATAAATAGTGCAATAAGATAAAGATGATTTAAAATAACAAAAAAAAAAGAAAAAGAAAAAAAAGATAAACAAAGCTAGGATCAGTGAATTATCCCCAAGGTTTAAGGTGTCCAAACTTGTAGCTCGAGGAACTGAATTATACCAAAAATATATGAAAAAAAATTTATAAAATAAAATGGGCAGTCTTTTCTAAAATTCAAAAAGGCAAATGAAAGAATACGTAATTAGCAGTGGTAACTTCAATGGAAAAAATGGAAAGACATTCGCAATTTATTTTTTCTTATTTATGGACTGCTTGTGGATTTTATGACACGTGAGTGGTATAAAAAACAACACTGACCCAAACTTCTCTTCCCCTAAGTAAAAATTTTAGTCAACAGGAAAATGCCCACATGACTGAGATTGGTGTTACATACCTAAATAGTTTTGGAGGCAAGATACTAAATCGTGTTTTATCCAAAATTTTCCTGATTTTGTTTCTTCCACCTGAAACAGTATTTGCTTTCACTTTCTTATTTCCTTTCTCCTGTGATGTCTGTTCAATGTCTCCTGGTACATCCTGGATTGAATGGCGATTACTCTTTTTTTCAGCAATTTTGGGAATGTGAGGAACACCAGATTTCTCTTGTTCGGTCCTACTGAGTAACTCTTTGAACACTGTGGAAATAAATAAACTTGTTTTTTCACAGTAGAAAGTTTTTATATCAACAATAAATTTTAAGGATAAACACAGTCACTATCACTTGGCCTTTTACAGCCTATTAATTAACCATTAAGAAATTTATACCCTCTTTTATTAATCAGCTATATCCACTTTTCCCTTCAATTTTTATACATAACTGTATTTCTAATGTTGTCTAAGAGTGATTAAAAAAAAAATACTGGGGAAAATGGAAAGGAAGTGGACAGGCTGTCAGCATGTTTGAAAAGTCCAGGGGTTCCTTTTTAGGTAACAAATAATGTAATTGTTAACTCAGACTTTACTGAAACATTTTTAGATCCCATTATTTGTTATTCCTTATGATAATATATAACATTTAAGATGAGATATAAGTATTAGAGTCAGGCTCAGCTTTGCAAAATTTAGCCATTAAAAAAATGGAAAGAGCTTTGCTTAACCTGTTTTTAACAGAAATAAATAATACTAAATTTCGTAATAAATGACAATTTCCTCAAGGTCACATTTATGAGACATTACTTAGTAAAGCAGCTAATAAACATTCACTACAGTGATCTGATGTAAACAATGAATCATTCTTAGATAACTTTCTATCAACCCGGTCTGGTGAGTTACTTCATCCTCAAGGAAGGTGCAAGTGCACTGGAGGACTTGCCTGTCTAGCAATCTCTTTGCCTAGATCTGATTTTTCACCTTGTGAGAGGGTCTATACCTCCCCGGGATCAGGTGAAAGAAAGATATGTCTGCGTAAGGCTATATATCTAGAAGCTATCAGTGACTCATTTCCAGTTAAAAAAAAATGTATATCACCTATCTTTCATTAATATCATGAACAACTTTTTGGTTGTTGTTTTTAATATGTGTTCTTGAATAAGATGAATGATCTGCTAGAGGGAAAAAAATACTAGAAAGATAAATGTTAAAGCAGAAGGTAACTTTCCTAAAAACTTATAGAGCCTGTGGGGGGGTCTGAGTGAAAGAAAAATGGTGGCAGTATATTCTTGAACCTCGGCTTATCAGTAAGCGTAGCTTTGAGAAGTATTAATCTGTATCTTTATAGTAGAAAAGCTGTAAATTGTATAAATGTATCCACTGAAACCCCAACCACATAGAATTGCTATCTTTTCAGTTATTTTGGGAGATAAGTCAATAATTTCCTACATCATCAAAGGAACAAGATTCAAATGGACAACGTCTTAAGAATCAATACATCACAACATAAATGATTTGGTTTTCAGTAATAAAACTGGACCATTCCGAAAATTTCAACCAGAATGATGTCGTATTACCAAAGCATATTGCAAGCTTATGAAAAGCACATTTTCTGCCTTCAAAATAATGAAAATATTTAGGAGTCGCCTTTCAAAAATACTCTGCTTGATTAAAATACAATAAATTCCTTTCAATTACTATTTTTAAGTTTTACTTTAAGCTATGTGGTAAAGGTAAAAATGCTTTTTTGAGCTAAAAATCAAATCCATCCAATCAAAAAACTCACTGACGTATTAACACACGTCAGGCACTATACTAAATGTCTGCAGATTCTTCCTGCTGTGTAACAGTCAGTCAGTCTAAGACAAATGGTAGAGAGACCATTACAAGAGGAGCTAATTCAGATAGCAGGCAAGAGGAAATGTTCCCTAATTAAGTCACGGTGTAAAAAGAGATCAGTAAGGCGAGTAGATTTTACCTAGGCAAAGGGAGAGCAAGGGGGAATGATTCTAGGTAGAAGAATCTCAAGTTCAAAGTCTCTGTGGTAAAAAGAATGTTCAAGAAAATGAAGATGACTGGAGACCCAGGTAGAGAAGCAGCCTGATAATGCTATGGTAGGTGTTTAAATTTTCTGTTAAAAGCAACAGATCTTTGAATGGACAGCAGATATCCCTGGCTGTGGTGTGTATGTACAGTGACTTAACAGTGCACAAGTAGTTTATATCTTCAATGGATTTCCATATATAATTATAAGTAAAAATCTGTGGAGTTTGTGATTTAGAGATAAAGAAATGATTGGGTTGAATTTTAAAAAATCAGTTAAGGACAAAAATGAACAAATGGTGAGCAAATGTAATTACAATATCATTCAACAGCAATATCAGATATATCAATCAGAAATGAAAGTGCCCAAGAATCAATAAAAGAAAAGTTTACCACATTTAGTTAAAAATTTCTCACTTTTTACAAACACAAACAGAAAACGCAATTAAGGAAAGTCAAAGGACAAATAACTTAGGGAAAACATTTATAACCCTTAAAACAAAAAGATACTGTTCTTTATAGGACATTCAAACAAATCAAAAGATGAGTAACTCAATATAAAAAGGACAAATAGAAAGACTGTTTATAAAAAAGAAATATTAACACACAAAAAGGTGTTCAACCTCCCTCATTATTAAAGAATGGATAGCAATAACTATAAAGTTGATTATGCCCACTGCAGAGATATTCTTATACATTGATGAATGTAGCATGGAGACAGTGGTAAATTTTTGCAAAGTAAAACTCTCTAGTAATTGTCAAAAGTAATACCACTTTGAGAAATTCATCTTATAAGTGTCTATATAAATATAAAAGATCAGTACAAAGAATTTTTATTACGTTATTGTAAATAGCGAAAACTGTTAATAACCTAGAGCATCCACTGGTATGACATCAGCACAATAGATGATGATGATAATGCAATGGAATTCTACACAGTAACAATTATATAAGAAGTAAATCTGTATGAGCTGATGTTGAAAGGTACAGAATATTTCACACAGTATGGTTCTACCATTTATTTTTCTTTAATACTTTAATTTTCAAAACATATGCATGTATTACTTTTATCCAAAAATTAAAATGCTAATAATAAATTATCTGAGTGGTGGGATTGTAAAAGATGTTAGAATGTTGTGAAAGCCAAAAGGAATAAAGGAAGAGGGTAAACTGGAATTGCCAGCTGTTTTCTCCTCTGGGAGCATTCGCTGAGTCTAAACATGAGGTGTGGATCAGGTAGAGGGATGGTACTAGAGGAAAGAAAATTTTTGATATGAGTACGAGTGTGAAAACTGGAATACAGCAAAAACCAAAGTGGTGTCACTTTTTTCCATGTTGGTAGTGTTACATCCTTCAGATATACTCTTTCTGTCTCCCAAGGTCCATGTTATACTATTTGTGTATTTTTTACATAATATTTGATAGCAGTTAAAAATTAGTATGTGCCAGGTAAAAAAAAGTTAAAAGTATTTGATCTTTAAAAGAACCCTATGAAATAGAGATGGAGACACTGAAGCTTGGAGAGACTAAATAATGTGCTCTAGGTGACAGAGCAAACTGTGCTTTCACATTTTTCAAAATCAGAACCCTTTTACTTTAATCCAAAAGTTGATGTTTCCAGATACAAGTCCAAACTTCAGGAAATTAAAAAACTAGAAGGGCTTACTTATTAGGAAATTGCCCATAGACAGTTATTTACGATTTAACATGATATAATTCAGTAAAAGGAACTCAAATGAAATGGGAAAAAATACCAAACGTTTCATTTTTCATTATGACTAAGTGCAGTATAAGGAGGAGGCAAAGTAGAAAAAAATAGAACATACTTCCTTTTCCACAGACACAGCTTTTAAAGTCAACTCTTCTCAAATTGTAACCTAAATGACCTAGTGGAATTTCTCCCCCCTCTACTTCATAGGGACTCAAATTTTCTTTGATAGTTTTTAACTGTTATTGTGTTGCCCTTCTCTGAGTTTCAGAGGAAATCTTATGGTATTTAATAAAATCAAATTACAGTAAGTGTTTCCTAAATGTTTAAAAAATAAACAATAGTAGATGAAGTTAAAAGTATAGGCTTAGTCCTTGTGTCATTCAAATATAAACACGATCAAAACACACTCAGGCACAGTAATCAATCTTTTAACGTAAAGGTAGAGTATAATGTTATTAAAAAATCTGTAATTCACTGCTTAAATCAATGTTTTACTCAATTTATTTCCATGAAACAGCTAATCTGGAATTCATTTTATTATTTCAGAAAGCTAGCTAAAACATCAGAAGCAGACTGATTTGCACATTAGTAGGAAGGGGAAAAAAGTCCAATTCTGACTTAAGTTTCATTCAGGTCATTCTAAGTCTCACTAAGTATCTCCCAACAAAAAAACAGTACATAATATTCAGAAGACATTTCATAAATGACTGACTGAATGTAGTTGTACACATATTTTAAAAAATACTTTTAAAAATATCAAAATAACTAAATGCAAGTAATTAAAATTTTAGAATACATAACACATATCTCAACACCAAAGATAGAAACATGTTTATATTTTACTATCCTCCTTTTCAGTGTAATGACTTTTCTCTTTTCTATTACCAAAAAAAAAAGCTCAGTTTTCACAACATAACTCACCAAAAATGTTGGTCTTTACAGTAAGTGCAAGATGAGTGTTATTCCTCAAAATTTCAAGTGCCTTCACAAATGTAATATTCTCAAAGTTTTGTCCATTTACTTCCATTATCTTCAGAAAAATGTTTGAAAAATACAAATTAAGACATAAACAGTATCAGTTACTTTTGCAACCTTAACAGTAAAAAAGTAAAACTTGAATAAAATGCACCCATATGTGAACAAAGGTTATCTCTGTGAGAAGTGGGATTACTATTTGATTTTTATTCTCTATATTTTGTATTTCTCCAAATCTTTACTATAAACATGTTTTTAAGTTCACTCCCTCTAGGATCATATTAAGAAATTAAAAAAAAACCAAAAAACTCAGGATGGTTTATAAATGAAGAAAAACTTTTAATCATGTCAGATCAATTCACAAAAATAACTGCCTGTGTGATATACAAATTTTAATGAAATAGATCGAAAATCTCAGATAATTTCCATGACACTTGGGAGGACTGAAAGAAGAAGTAAAAACATGATAAATTTCTTTCCTCTCTTAGGAATGAAATCATTGGATTTCACTATTTGTTTGGTTTTTTTTTTTTTGGTGAAAAAGGAGATTCTTAAATGTGTTGACAATAAAATGCTGGAACAATAAATATACTGACTCCGGGATCCTAGCTACTAGAGAGTCTTATATGGGGTAAGATCCAGAAAGCTCTATTTTTAAAAAGTTCCCTTAAAGTAAGAAGGGGATCATCATTACAACTTTGTATTAGTTTCTTACTTGCATTACATTGATATTGGGCTGGATAATGCTATGCTGTGGGGCTATTCTGTTGTAAGGTATTGAAGGCTATTTAGCAGCATCCTTGGCCTCTATCCACTAGATGCACAAGTCATGTTAATTAAAGTGCTAAGTCATGACAATTATAAATATCTCCAGAGATTGCCAAATTTTCTGGGG